CATTTTTCTTATCAAAAGCTTCTTATTCACAGCCACTTATGTAATTGCTGAAATATCTCAACACTTTTCTGCAGTGCTGAAGTAAACAGGAGGGAGAGGAACAGGATCACACTGGGTCAAACACTATTTCCATAATGGTCAAATTAAAGTTGCTCCAGTGTAAGCAATGATAGATGATTGGCCCTTGGACTGTTATTCTAACGCATTTCCTTTGAAGGTGACAGTTGGGGTTGGATAGTTTAGAATTTGACACAATTGGGTATTAAATTTAAATATGATACAAAACATTCTTTTCCATCTTTAAAAATGGAAAAGTATGGAGTATTCATACATGTGGGAGTGAATAAGTTTGACTCTGTGGAAAGCTTGTAGAGCCAGTTGTGATTTAAGGAGCTCATTAAAATCTCTTGTTTAATCATTCCTCCATGAAGAAACAATGATTTCATTGTTCTGTCAAAAGCTTAGAATTAATATGGTATTTAAGGTCCATGATAATTGGATTGAAACTTCTCCTCAGTATTGTAAAACTCATGAAACCGTTTTTGAAAAGATGGTATGCCTGGATTCTCCACTACAGACTGATGGTTGCACATTCATCATGAGGGAATTTCCAGCACAACTGAGATTTATTACTTATATTATGAATTTTGTCCTTTATTAGTGTCTCTTTCTTAGAACATATAAAAGAAAAAATAAAATCCCAGCTATTTTTCATTTCTAGTAATGCATCTCATAAAGTCCTTTATTTTTATCTTTGTTCCTGCTTAGAAATCATTTCAAGTGTTTTAGTTTCTTGAATCTTTTCTGTGTTGTCCTCTGAACATCAAACCTTTTGAAATGAGAGTTAAACAGCAAACTTGTTGTGACACCTGGCTGAATAAATATACCCAAAAGCACTGCTCTGATGACAGACACCCTGGAGACTGCAACTTTCTTTGAATTAGCGCCAGATATTCCCCTCATCCTCCTGTGGTTTGAATTCTATGTAAACCTGATTTAGCGACGAGAGGGAACAGAGACACTAATGAGAACACGCTTCAACAGGGACCTGCAGCCTGGTGGTGACTGGAGTGTCTCCCACAGGGATGAGATGATAAAGACGGAGCTTAATGCACCTCTGTTGTCAAGTGGAGGCTGACTTACAGAAAGATTAACTTTAAGACATGAGAAACTGAATTAAAGAAACCAAAATCACATGAAATGCAACGTCTATATTAATTATTTTTACCATCAAGACTATTTATGGGGGAAACTTCTTTAACCACAGTATGTTGCAGTTTTTTTATGTATTTCATGTCACAACCTGAAATTTGTCATTTCTGGTAATACAGCAACATAAAACTGAGCATCACTTAAGGTGGATTGTATTTGATAAATTATTTTAAAAGGCTTATTTACATAAAAATCTAAAACGTGTTAAGTAATGAGCCAAATTTACTATTATGCATGCATGCTACAGGTGGTTCCAGCTCACCATCACAACCTTTCAGGTTGCTGCTAATGCAGACCAAAAATTAAGACAAAATTACTATTAACTGTACAGCAAAGAGAAAAACAGCCTTCAGAGGCTATTTATGCTTTTTAGTCCTTTAAGGATCCAAAGTAAATACTTTCCTATGTAGAAGGTGACAATACTAAAATCTTGCTGTAGTTTGGGATAAAGGAGATCATACAAACTTTTCAGTTTGGTAAGTTTCCAGGTTGAAGTACAAAGTCAAAGCTAAACCCCAAAAGTACTCTGAAAAAGTAAAGTTCTTTTTAGTCCTACTTACTAATAACGATTTTGGAAAAAACAGTTGGAAAGATTTCAACGTAGAGATGTGTAATAATCCACAAGGTCGGATGTTGGGAGCATGAATACATAAATCATGTGGGCATGAGTTGGACACATGCTAACCACAGTAACTGATCTACTTTGAGCTCTTTACAGAAACTCTTGTCATTATGTCAGTTCATAAAAGAAGTTTCCCGCTGATGTCTGGAACCAAAGCAGTTGTCCCACGATGACTTGGCTTTCTGTGCTGCACAAGAAGTGTGTTACACACACATTACCTGGAAACAAGTGTCTGAACCCAAACGCCAGCCTGTTTATTGAGGAAGTGAGGGACATCAGCAGCTGCTGTGCACGAGCAAACTGTAGAAGAAGACTAAACAATAAGCAGTATTTAATACACAGCACCGTTCCTTTGTGTGACGTGGGTGTCCAGGGTGGGAATGTGTTGCTTCTCTGGTATTATCACCTCCTACGAGTTTGCAGACAGTTTAATAAAACAGTTACTCAACTAAACAATATGTGCTGCAATTACTGAGAATGTGCTGATGCTACTAAACATGACAGAACTCAACATTGGCTTAACTGGGAACAAACTTAATCAAACAGCTAAATTGAACTACTAATTGAATTTGATCAGCTAGTGACATGAACCAGAGCTGTTTAGTCCGTTTCAAGCAAACTCTGGATTGTTTCTTCTCTTGGGTTTGATTTGATAATTTTGTAAAGAACAAAAACATAAGGAATTTTAATACATCTCAATCATTTGTTATAGTGCTCAGATAATTACACCTGTAATCATGCCCAGAAACACACAATGGCATGATTAAATCCTGTTTTTCTACAAGCTGAGAACACACTTAGATTTAGTTTACCCACACTGGACAAATCTGACCAATACACACACTGGTTTAGTTACAAGTTACCAAACTCATCAACTGATTCAGAACAAAGTAAACAAACTGAAGTGTGAAATCGTCCTTCCAGTTGGAAGGTTGGATATTTACTGTTGGTGAGATGATGAAAATTTGAAATCAGAGACAGAGCAGTTAAAGAAGTCGTTAAAATGGAAACTGTATTTTCTATTAATAGCATACATAGCGAGAAATGTCTGTAGATCATTTCGGCTGTGAGATTCTCAGCAGATGTCATGAGGGATGAACAGAGCAAAGCTGCTTAGATTTATCTGTTTCAGTTTTCATACAGTGTTATGCACTGTGCTAGTTTTGGAAATTGTGGTAGCTGTTTAAAAAATCTCATCTATGACTACACACAGACAGCTGAACCATAATAATGTCAAAGAGTTAAAATGGTGAATGTGATAATTTTGGTTTAAATTATTATTTCAGTCTTGTTTTACTAGGAATGTTCTCTAACACATACACTATAGTGTTGCTGAAGCTGCTAAAGTTACTGATTATGCAGAAGTCTGGAAAAAATATGTGGACGACTGCTTTTATGTATTCTTAATTTAAAGGAGAAACTGGAGCTAAAGTTGGTCTAAACAGGTCAGAGTTGTGCATAAAACGATTCTCAGAAATTTACCAAAAAGTCAGAACCACTGCATCTCCAGTTTAATTTGTTAAAGAACAATTTTTAACGATTGTTTAAAGAAGTCACAAGAAAACCTTTTTTCATAACTGCAAATGAGTTTTCTTTTGACTTTACATATTTCACAAATCAAGTTGGGGAGACAGCAAAGAAGTGGAAGAAGAGACCTACATAAATCTTCATGTAAAACACTTTGTTGACACTTTGTCCTGCTGTTGTATCAACTTTCCAGACCAGATCAGTCAGGGTTTCTTGCTCTAATCTGCTCTGCATTCTCAGAACCAGAACCAAACATGGAGACACAGCATTCAGATTTTATACTCCTCAAAACCAAAACAAACTTCCAGAAAACTGCAAAAATGCTGAAACACCCACCTGTTAAGATATTCTTTTGAACCATAATAAATTGAACATTGAACATCATTTGATGTGTGTTGATGATTCTGATGACAACATTTGACAAAATATAATGTTTAGTGCTTGTTTCATAACTGATGTCTGTGTGATGTTTTTATGATGTAAAATATTTTGATCTGCCTTGTTGCTGAAACATGCTATGCAAATAAACAACTTTGTGCTGGTCTGTTACATAAAATCACAATAAATTACACAGCAGTTTGTGGTTAGAACATAATATAGATGTAAAAGTCCAATGTTAATTAATACAGCTGAATGTTATCATTAAAAATAATCCAAACATCAGAATAATGGAGATTTCTCAGATGAGGTGGGGGGTTTTTTTCTCCTTTTTTCACGTTCATTTGGTAACACTTGATGTTTAATTTAATCAACTTCACCATGACAACCTTCTGTGAATTACAAAGGTAGAGCCATGAATGACTAAAACTTCAATGATCACAGGTCTGGCTCCTGCTGCGGATTTGGCCAGCTGCCCCCTGAAAGCTGGTGGCAAACTGGAAACTAAGGGGCCAACAACATATGGCGCAGAGGCTTATGGGATTACTCATTTAACAAGGTGACTTGGAGAGCTACTAATCTTCAAAATGTTCTAAAGGAGTATGGAGTCTGTGTGGGGCGCAGGGGAGCTGCCTCTTTTCAGGATCCCATACCCAATTAAACACAAACCTCCTTTAAGTCGTCTCTGAAATGCAGAGGTTGGCGCAGTGGAGCTTTCTGGGTGCAGCTCCAACTAAATTCTTTACACACATGTAAAAATGCCAAGCAGACCGACCGCAGAGCATCTGATTCTGACAACATGTAGGTGCGCTAATTGTAATCATCGTGACACAAAGTGCGCCGCAGGCATAAACACCACCTCCAAAGTGCGCTGCTGTGCGCACAGAACGAGACGCGCGCCGCCTAGATGGACGTCACGCGCACGCACACACACACACACACACACCAGCTGCAGATCGGAAAGTGCACTTATGTTGACGCAAATCGGTAATTAAAACAGCACTAAGGGTAAAAATCTGTTTTATTAAACATTTGGAGTTTTGGCGCTGGAAAATGATGCACATGGTTGAGCTTTCCAGAAATGTAAGAGATTTGATTATCTTTCATATTTTGTTGCTAATTCAACTATCACAATAAAAGAAGTCGTTATAAGTTCACATAGCGCTTTGGGTTACTTTAAATGTTAAAGTTCTGCCAGTTGAAGCTGATTTTCTGGCAGCCCAAGGGGTTAAAATGCTCAGACCGGACGACGGTGGCTTACCGTGGGGGAAAGCGTTGGGCTGCACCGCATGCAGGAAAGCGTGCACCAAGTGGAAGAGGATCCCTATGGGTCCGGGTTCGTAATGGGCCAGTGTCTCGTAAACTCCCGCAGGCACATAACCAAAATTCAACTTTCCCGGAGGTGGTAATCTCCGCGGCTCTGTCTCCTGCTGGAGTTCACCGGACGCCCACAGCACCGACAGTAGCAGTAGTGTCCCGGACTTCCACATCGTGTCCAAGCCAAACCCCGATCTACCCTCAAACTGGTTCTAGATACTAAACTGGACGGTGGCGTTTCTTAAAAAGCCACAGGAATTGATTCGAGATCAATCTTAAAGCGCTCCAGTGGATGGACCGCAGTTCTTCAAGTACTGCTGCCCACGGAGCGGCTCGTTCTGAGCATCCTACCCCGCGGTCCGGGGGGTCCCTGTCGGATGCACACCGGCTGATCTTCCCTCTACCGTGTCCGGTAGTGGATGCGCTCAGCCCCTAAGAGATGTGCGCGCCTGTCGCTTCGACTCCGGCATCTGCGCGTAAAGAGATGCGCTGCGTCACGGGAGCGGGCGGGGTCGTGCGCAGCCATCCAAACAGTGCAGAGGATAATCCAGAGAGAAGCGCTCCTCCTGCCGGGAAAAGGAGGCTGGATGAAGGGAGTGCTAGTACCAACAAGATGTAATGAAATCTACCTTTAAGTCTCTTTCCATCTAATTTATTTACCAACGCTTATAACTACAGATTACTGTCAGAGCCGGCCCAAGGCATCAGCAAACTGATCAGCTGCCTGAGTACACCTACGACAGGGGGGCCCAGACAGCACTGCACTTGTCATTGGCGCTGTATTGAATCTCAGTGTTGATCGTAATACCCCGCCTATCCGCGGTTCAGAAGTCAGGGACTCAACTATTCATGGATTTTTCTATGAAACATAACTCCAATTTTTATTTTTTTATTTTTTTGTGTGTGGTAAATCTGCTTATTCATAGCTATTTTTCAATAGAGCCTTTTTAAAATATTCAAAAGAACATCTATTTTAGAAAGATGTAATACATTGGCACAATGCTACGTGTTTGTAAAGCAGTATTGTGCTGATTGGCTAAAGCAGAGGTAAAGAAGGCTGTAGATTCTGAGGTAGTGCTAAGATGGTTTCCACTGTGCATTTTAATGAAAAATGCAGGTATATTTCATGTGTGAACAATTAAAACAAGAAGTTATAAGTGTTTTTAAAGAGGGTTTTAAAGTATTTGCAGATTTTAGCTGTTTGTGGATAACTATGTGGGAGACAGAGCCAGCAGGAAACAGAGACAGCAGGATCTTAAAAAATTTTTTTAAATTTTACAATCATTTATGACCAAAATGATTCAAATGTTTTAGGACTGAAGACCCCACCTAATTATACCTCTCAGTTACAAATTTCCAACCATTGAAGAGGAACTTATGCAGTATTTTATTAGAATAATCTTTTATTTTATTAATTTAATACATTTTGACTTCCTGTTGTGATGTTTATGTGTTAAGGACACTTCCAGATTGACATTTTTGTTTCCAATAATGGGTTTTGACTTCTTTCATCTTGACTGCATTGTGTGCACATGTCAATTATACCAGGTCCTCAACTTTTCTTTTCCTCCTAACATATGCTACTGTAGCCATGGTGATACCTGGCTTACTGGTATGATTGCTGATGCTATGTTTAGGTGGACTTTTCTCAGTACAATAAGAGCTTTGTTCTGACTGTGGAGAACATCAGGCCTCAACCCTGGCTTAAAAATGTCTGATAGTCGACTGTGATCATATTTCTTTACACATAACAAAAGCTTATTAAACCTGCAGAATGGTCTCACTGCTAAAAGATATGTTTTAGACCCTGTGTTGGAACAGATGACTTAACTTGGATTTAAGTCACAGATACTGTCTGGTTTGACTAAAAATGCCTCTAATTAACAATATTTTAACATCTTTCCTGATTATTTCGACTTCTTTTTTAAAGTTCTTTTTCTACCCATTCAGACCACTGCTGGAATTTATCTAAATAACCTACGACTACACCTGTCGCCCTACTGGAAGCTGCAACAGGGCTGCACCTTGCCTCAGCTCTCGGCAGTGTAAGGAGCTTATCCCTCTAAGAATGTCTGGTCCAGATTTACTCTGCCTGACCTCCGCTTCCAAACAGACAGTGTGCAGATAAAGATGAGGTCATCATCCAAACGGGAAGTTGAAAATATAAACCACTGTTCCAACTTTGTGAGTGCACTGGCAGCCTCAGTCCTTTTGTTTTTTTAAATCTGGTTTTCCAAACTGTCAGGCTGTCAACATCCCCAGAAGTATAAGAATCAGTCTGATTATAATTTATAATCTATAATTTAGCCATTGGAGTGATTTGATATGGAGCTGTATTGCTGAAACAGCTGTATTGCTTCATTTTTTTTATCCTACCCTACTATTGCTTAATGTAATTTTAAGTGTTTTTAAAGTGTTTCACTGAACTTTTGACAGCTCTTCCTTTTCCCCCAGTTCTTGTTTCCTTTAGCTAAAGCCATAGTTTGCAGAGATATTCCAAATATCCATTCATCAAGCCATCTTCTAAACCTGCTTATTCTTCTAAACCTGCTTATTCTTTACAAAAGTATCATGCTTTTTAGTCAGAGTTTATTCTGATAATCTCCTACTTAACTTTGGCGTTATTTACTAGTTAAAGTAAAAACTGCATGATCCTGCAGAGTGAAATGTGCTACACCCATAGTAAATCACATGCAGCTAGTTGTTTCTGGTCATGATTAAAGCTGTTTTAACACCACATCACAGAGGCTTCTGTTGTATATATGTAATCTCATCAGAGGAAAAAAGACAACTCTGTATTATATGTATGTTACAAAAATAAATGTTTTTTTCATGCTGCATTACTGCAATCACATTTAAGTCCAGACTTTAAGTAGGCCGTTCCAAAACCTTCCTTTAGGATTTTGGAGACATATCGGTGGACTTTTTTTTTTTTTTAATCAGTTTTCTAATTTTTCTGATTACTGTTTGATGTAATTCTCCAATGATTACCAAATTAGATTTTTTTTGTTTACTTCAGAGCTACAGCGGCAAAAAAAGCTGCTGTTCACAGTTACTCCTTTCCATATTGTTGTTTAAAGGAAACATTTGCGATCACCATTTAAAAAAAAAAATACACTTTTATTATTCCAAAAAGGCAATTTCATTCATTATCAAGGTATGAATTAAATATAAATCTAAACTAATGAAACAGAGCAGGCAGTGTACTGGACATAAAAATACTCCACTTCATCAGTTCTGTTGATCTCAGCTTCGGCCGCCTTCACTGTAAACAAACAAAGAGTTTGGACGACTCTGAACAAAACACGGGGAGTTCTGGCCCTCTGAGAGAACCACGCGATAGTTTGAGGAATCACATTTCACACAGAACATTTGAGTCATTTACAGTTCCCCAAGTAGAACCATAATCCTTATTATGATGGAAAAGGACAATGTAAATCAGCACTTTGCCCTTAAACATTAACGTAAAATTTTTCCTGCTTAAACAATATTCAACATTTGTCTGTACATCCTTGTTCTGAGTACATTTTTTGTTTCCTAAGCCAACAGTTCTTTTGAAATCGTGTTTCAGTGAAAATATTTTATACAAATTAAATGTGTAATAATGGATGAAACCAGAAAGCAAATCAAACCATATCTGCATTACTTTTGAAACTGATACATTTCTGATAAAATTGAAGGGCTTTGCTTGACTTTCTATCATAAAAATATAATCAAGTTGGGATTTTTATATTGTCCTTACATTTAATTATAAACAAACAGTTTTTATATACTCTACATATTTATCATATGTTTTAATCACAATAAAAAATGGTTTACAATAATTTCTTAAAGTCAGTCAAATCACAGGTTTTAAAGCACACATGCAAAAAAAAAAAGGCATTCTGTCATGGAAATATTGCTTCTATCTTTCTAAGATGTTCCTATGGAAACATCAGCTGAGTTTATGTGAAACATGACCCGATATAACTTAATAGTCCATCAGTGCAAACATTCAAGACCAAAAGAATTAGAAACTAACTTGGTACATTCCAGAGGAGGCGCCTCACTCAGTCATATCCCGTCTTAATGGATAACAAGACATTGAAGATGATAATATTGAATGACTTTGTTCATATAAAAGTGACATTATAGATGTAACTGCGCCGCTGCATCCTCGACCTTTGGTCTCCATCTGCTGAGTCAGGGACCGACAGAAGCTGCTGAGTTAACGTCAGCAGGATGGGGTTCAGTAAGTTAGTGAAGGTGCTAATGATATAATGATGTAAACAAAACGCCCCTCTTAAGGCCAACAGTTCAAAAGAATGTTGTTTTTTTACTTTGGGTTTCATGTTTGCTGATTCTCATGTTTTGATTTATAAATTTCATGTAGTTTTCTGTAATCCACATTTTATTATCCTCAATAAACCGAATAACATACTGACTTATGTGTGCAAAAATATCTTTCCTGTTTTTCTGTTTGCAACACCATCTCAATATAAATGCCTAAAATAATCACTTAGTCTTGAAAGCCAATATGTTGATACCTCAGCATGTTTTCTTATACAAAATGAATATCCTGACGCTTGCTTTAAAAATCTGTGGTTTTAGTTTGTTTTCTGTCTGCGGAGAGACATTGCTCTCCTTCTGGTCCCACAGCTGCTCAATCAGGAAGTGCTTGTGTGCTGTCACACTCACACACACTGTTGTTTTCTTTCACACATAGACACACACCCACACACACACAAACAATTGGCAGATTGTCCCGACGACTCGGCTGCCACACTCACACTTTCTGTCTCCTGCTGTTTATCAGACACCTGAAGTGTTCTTCGTCAAACTTCTTGACCTGAGGCATCGACCACAGCAGATCTGCCTGACACTGTGTCCCTGGTAACAATAACTTATCATATTGCCAATAAATACTCTGCTTTCCGCGTGGAGGATCTGGCTGAGAGCCTGCGCTCTCCGCTATACCTGAGTGGGTTACTTGCTACATCGGTGGCTGCTGCTGGTCAGTCGATTCGGTTGCCACAGATTGTGAAGCGGTCGATCTCCAGCAGGTCTTTATTGGGAGCTCTGTGGTTCATATCGGAGGCTTCGTCTGCCTCCTCTTCCTGTAAAGGTGAAGCTGTTGGTGGTTCAGTGTCAGATTGGGGTTCTGAGGTCGAAGGACAGCTGTCTGCTGTCGCAGGTGAGGCGTCAGTGGGGGGAGGGAGAAACAAGTCAGACCGGGGAGCCGGCTGGGTGGTCACAGAGGGTGATGAGGAGGTCGGAGGGCTGCAAGGTGTGGCAGGAATCTGATCCACAATGGATTCACCTGAATGACAAAGGATGAAGCGTATAAACTCCTTTTCTCTGAAAATGTATTTTGTACACAGTTGTTGTCTAGAAAGACTTAAATATTCCAATAATAACTTTATATTATAACTTAAAATGTTGTTATGCTTGTCAAGCTAAATCAGCTTTGCTCAGAATAAAAACAAAAAGGCAGTGGACATAGATCATCTGATGACTTTGTACAGGGTTCTTGTTGCCAGGCAACCACGGCAGACTAGAGCAAGTCAATGCAATCTGTCAAGTTGTTTGCAAAAAGGCAAATTGTTGCCATCTTTGGCATCTTTGTCCACTGATTACACAAAGAAGTTGATATATTAATAAACCCTTCATGCTGCAGTTGACTGACTAATAATGGCCAAAAATTCAGCTATAAAACCTGCATCTCTCTTCCTGAAGATTCAAACTACAGCTAAAAGCTAAGAGAGACTGGGT